TTAATGAATATTTTCCTCCAAATTTTTCAAATAATTTAGTTCGCAATTTTACCTAAAGTTCCTGAAAATTTCGAGGAAAAATATTCATACCTTCCCTCAAAAATACTAGGAAGTCTACTTAAACAGGCTGGCCAAAAGTCAGTGCTTTTACAGTATTTTTCCAGTGCATTCCCGAGAGATTCAGTGCCTCCTCCACAGAAAAATTCAGTACTTTTTCAGTACCACCGTTTCACGAAATTCAAAAAATTTCAAAATTAAATTTCTCGCTCAAATCGGAACAAAGGTGAAAAAAAAAATGAAAAAAATTCCGGACCTTCTTCCGGGATTCCGCACTTTTTCTGTACTTCCGGACCGCCCTTAAAAAATCAGTACTATTTCTGGACGTTCCGGAAATTTCGGACCTGTAGACACCCTGAATATACATTTTATCGAAGGAAATTTGGCAACTCTCCAATGTTCATACGGCGCTCTTCCTTAGCACGACAGTATTCCCAGCAGTATTCCCCCGAAACTCGATGTCGAATAGAGAGAGGTGACAACACCGCTCGAGAGCGTGGTTGCTAAGCGTTGCGGGGATTTTCGAACCCCGGAATGTGGAGGTAGTGAAAATTGGCGTGGATTCGGGGCGCTTTGGCGACGTCCTCTCCGGCTCCGACCGCGGATTGCCGGGAAAATATGCCAGTCAGAGGTGCGAAGTCTTTCGTTCGAAATCTTACCGAGTGGATTAAACGTGAATCTGCATACAGCACTTCCTACAAGGATTCGGTCGTCGATCAATCACTGGGAGTCGTTCATAAAAAGCGTAACGCTCGAGAGAAGGGGGGGGNGAAGCGAAAAAAAAAAACATACGACACGAAACGATGGCCAAGGAACAAAAACGCCTATCTACAAAATGACAATTTTGCAGGTCAGATAAGAGACTTCGCCATTTTTGTGATTTTGTGGTTAGATTTGCTATTTTTTAATATATTATAGCGTCTTTACAGCGCTCTCATGCGGAATTGGAAAAAACTAAACAAAATCAGCTTGCGTATTTAAAACTGAAGAGTGCGGCAAGTCTCTAACTCATTTCCGCCAAATTGTCAGTTAGGATGTACTGTTTCTTATCCCTCGAAATACTTTAAGAGGGGGGGGGGGGTCGAAAAATCCCAAATTTAGCGTTACGTATTTTAGGAACAGCCACTTGGTAAATCCTGAATATTATAGACAATTTGTCCGGACTTCGCCCATATTCACGACACACTGAGGCACCTGGGCATACTAGGTATTAGAAAACAAGATTTGACAGAGAAATACTCTAAAATAACTTCGAAAGCACGTCCGACCCGAGTGAAAATCGCAATTTATTCTATCTTTCGATTTGCGATCTTTCCTCGGGAATTCTGGGAATTGATAATGATACAAATAACTGCGACACACTGATGACACTCAATTGCAACAAAAGCAGCGAAATATACCGCTAATTTGTGCAAGTAATACAGCGAAAATGTGTGTGTTTTTGGTGTCTATAGAAGGGGCATTTGACCGTTTCTTAAAAAACTGGGATTTTCATTTTATCAGGTCCAAGAATGTAAAGAATAATAATTTTTCAAATGAAATTTTGAAAGTGAAAATTTGAAAAGTAGAGACTTCAGAGTAATATAAACGCATTATACATGCGAAATAAATTCACTGGAATTAAGAGGAAAATGAGATTCTAACTTAGAGGAATTGGAGATGAGCATTTTACACGACGATTATCGCTCGGAGGCCCGTTCTCGGCGTCAAGCCATAGATTGAACGTATTTAGATATTTGACATGAGCCCTGAGATCCATAAGAGTACATGCATATCTGGGCCTTAGTCAAAATGGATATACTGCCTTTTCATTTAAATTCGTCCGATTGTCCTCCAGGCTTGGACGATTGCCGAGGACTCTAGGTTATTTTTGGAGACCCGAAAGTTTACATTCTCGCTGAAGTCTCCGGAGGATTATAATACCTTCGACTCCGAAAACCACGTAAAAACCCGGAACCGTTAAAGGTAATAAAATAGACCGACATCGGCAGGCGGATCAGCCCACGACGAGAAGAAATCCGGAAAAGATGTCGACGATTTTATAGCACTGTTCGGGGACGAAAAGAGAGGAGTTCGATTCCATAATTCACAGCTTTGATAGCATTAATAGAGAGACTAGGAATTAAACGATCAATTTTACGGAGTGTCAGTAGGTGACACTTGACTACGACTAGAAGAATCCAGATGCTGAGTCTTAGATTGCATTTATGAATGAGTTCAAAATAGCCATAAAATCAAGGGTTGGAATATCCAGAATTTTGCCTGATTTTGCAGAAAAATAGTTGAAAGTTTTTTCAAAAATAGACGAAAAGCCTCCACAACGGTTCTTACTTTTTGTCGCACAGAAGCGCTAAGATGCGCTTTTCGGACTTCATTACGACGAAACAACTCCAGCTGTTATAAAGCTTTTACTTGCCATAACAAGTATCTTCCCCGGAAAAACTGCTGAGATGGATGATGAAACCATCAATAATATTCAATTATCTTGGTTGCCATGGTATAGCGGCAACATTCCTCGACTTTTCAGGATTTATAGACATGAAGTTTCTTGACTTTTTAATATTTTTTGGAATCATTTCTCATACAAATTATTTTCACAATTTTAAGCGCGAAGTCTCTTGAGATGGAAAATATGGAGTATGTTGGCTGGAAGAAAAAATTTCAAGGTCCAGCACCATAATTCCCTGACTTTTCATAGTTCGGAGAAATTCCTTGAATTTTCAAGAAGTTGTCACTCTGCATCTTGGATACCATGACCATGGTGCATGTTGAAACCAACATCCATTAGGCTTTGGTAGTGGAATCTACTTTACTGTTTCCTTGTCTCATACCAGGGTGTCTACTAAAACAGGCTGGTCAAAAATAAGTACTTTTACAGTACTTTTTCAGTACATTCTCAAGAAATTCAGTACCTCCTCCAACAGAAGAGTTCCGTCCTTTTCCAGTACCTTCATTTGACAAAAATAAAAAAATTTCAAATATTTGAAATTGCGACATAAATGACAAAAATTGTAAAAAAAATTCCGGACCTTTTTACGGAATTTCCATACTTTTCCAGTGCTTCCGGACCGCCCTTAGAAAATCAGAGCTATTTCCGGATTTTCCGGACTTGTAGACACCCTAGGACTCAATTTTGTTTGATCATTTTCCGCAAGTTCTGTCGTTATGACGACGAATACGCCACAATTAATCCAGTTTCAAAATTCTCATTGCGAATTGAGTAGGCAAGCGCTCCCTTTCCCCTCTTTACTCGACGTGTGATTTTTTTTCAATTAACGGTTTGAGTTTGCTCATGCCAGAAAAAAGTGGGTTCGCAAACTTTGGTGCAATACGGCGTAGCGTGGCAGTAGGCGTGTGTGAAAAAATTGCACAACGCCGATGCTCTACAAGCCGGTAATTTGAACTCGCCGAGTAATTCAACTACATCGGTGCAAAGCCTTGAGGTTACACGACCGTAGTTAGTTCTCATTTCCACAGGACGTGAGAATCCGGAGGACTCAATTGTGTTCAAGAAGTTATTCGTTTAAATGTATTAGCCTGACTGGACGATTTTCTTGCACGTTTATCCGAGAAAATGGAACAGCGACAAGTGTAGAAATCAAGCAGAGAGAAACCAAGTCACTTTGAAAAAAAAGTTAAACTTAGAGCAATTGGAAATAAAGCTCCTTCTGAAGCTTGATTTAAGAGAAAACAGTTGCCGAAATTTTACGGTACCAATTTTAACTTTTGTCTCCAAAGAGACCATGAGCATTTCCCAAACGTCAAAACTTGTTTTTACAATACTAAAGTAACGTGTTATTGTGTCTCCCAAATGAATGCTGTTGAAATTAATTCTTGTATAAACCGAAACTTCCCGACTTTCTGCTTACACATTTTTATTTCTGGCGGTAACAAAAGCGAGGAACAAGAGAACGTTCGAGCGGATTACTTTGACAATTTTAGGGAATTGGATTCATAAATGCAGAAAATTCAATGAAAGCACGAACATAGACACACAACTGTTCTCATGTAAAACATTAAACTGCCGCAATGGCAAATAATGCAACTGCTTAACAGCAATGGCATTGTAATGGCAGGAGCTGACGCGGCTTGGTTCTTTTCTGCTTAACTCGGTCCGATTACATATTGGCTCATTTTGGAAACAACGTATGCGCCATTAGTTTCCCTATGCAAATAAGAGCTTTTACGGAAGGGCAGGAAATTTCAGTTTCTTGTTGCAAAATAACGTTCAATTTTCCTATCAACTTTCATTTCGACTTGTGGGTTCTGCGAGACCCACCCACAGAACCCACTTGGGTGGGTCTAGACGCCTCCTCAAGAAAATTTTAGAATATTTTTGAAGCATCTAATATGCAATTAGAGTCAGATCACCAAATGTAAGCGTCTTTTTTTCTTCTTTCCTGGGTTCCTTCTTTCTTTCTATCCTCTTTCTTCACTGGAAAAAACACATTGGATCTAGAGTCCAGACTCTTAAAAACATCGACAAGAAAAAGTACTCTCGATCCAATCAGAATCTAGCTTAAATCAAGAACCAAGCCTCTTAATTTAAGCGGATTTCGTTTTGATTCACGCAAAAATCTGATTGAATCAAGAGTATTTTTTCTTGTCAATGTTTTCAAGAGTCTGGACTCTAGATCCAATGTGTTTTTTTTTTCCAGTGTCTTTCCTCCTCCTCTTTTTTCCGGGAGAACGGGGTGGGTGGGTGGGGGGGCGTACGCCCCCACGCCCTTCCTGGATCCGCCTATGGCTGGCTGACCTTTTTCCGGGAGATTCTTTCACCCGAGCAAATTTAGGCACCAAAAATTAACCCCTTCCGAAAGATATCACATCGAATGAGCATCGGTGTGATCAAACTAGGAGCTTTCGCAATTTTCGAGATCGGGTGCGAGTGCTCGTGGATCGGAACTGGAGCGGGCGAGGAGACAAAAATAATGAGTGCTTACGTTGGAGAGGAGCGAAGATCATAAATCAGCTTCTCGCCGGGCCGCTGCCGTTGCCGTTGCTGTTGCCGTTGCGCAATGGGTCGGAATCCGCGGCTGCGTAAGATGAATCCATGCAGCTCGTTAACAACCGAAAACCGACATTTCGCCCGCACTAAAACACTTCACTCAAGGTAATCCAAATCTGCAACAAAACAAACGTAAACAAAGCATTAGCCTCACCGTTTAGCCATAACGCAATAAAACGCGACGGGGCTCTCGCAAGCCGAGACCTCAGCGCTGCGTGAGCACCTAACAATTAGTTTAATCGTAATCTCACCGCAGAAATTTGGGTGACACCGATTTGGCCCAAAATGAGCTCTGTCGGCAAGGGCCTCTCCTGCGGACCGATTATTGAAATTGGTAGACAAAGCCATGGACAAGAAAGACAAAAGGGATGTGAAGGGATTCTATCGGTGGAAGGAAACACTGGAAAAAAACATTTTGGATCTAGAGTTCAGACTCTTGAAAACATTGACAAGAAAAAATACTCTTGATTCAATCGGATTTTTGCTTGAATCAAAACGAAATCCGCTTAAATTAAGAGGCTTGCTTCTTGATTTAAGCTAGATTCTGATTGAATCGAGAGTACTTTTTCTTGGCGATGTTTTCAAGAGTCTGGACTTTAGATCCAATGTGTTTTTTTTTTTCCAGTGCGTTGGTGTCGCTGGTATGACAAATTAGACCAAACTTTTGGATTAGGAACGACAATTTTTATCTCAATATAGAAGCAACATACGTGCTATGAGTTTTAATATGTACATCGATAGATGTTTTCGTGTATGAGACAGAGACAGAAATTGCAGTTCCTTCTTGCAAAATGCAGTCCAACTCTGATGAAGTAGGCGAAGTATAGAGCGAAATACTCAGGTTAGCTTTACGAGCACTGGAAAAAAAAGCACATTGGATCTAGAGTCCAGACTCTTAAAAACATCGACAAGAAAAAGTACTCTCGATTCAATCAGAATCTAGCTTAAATCAAGAACGAAGCTTCTTCATTTAAGCGGATTTCGTTTTGATTCAAGCAAAAATCCGATTGAATCAAGAGTATTATTTCTTGTCAATGTTTTCAAGAGTCTGGACTCTAGATCCAATGTGTTTTTTTTCCAGTGAGGGCAAATGACCCACTCAGTGCGGGGGAACGTTTCCTCTCCAGTAACCTCACCGGTTCGTATGAATATTTGATCTCGAGCCACTAAATCGGATCTGGAGGGATGAGTGAACTCCTAACGACGATAAGGCTTCACGATTCGATATACCTCGTGCGCGGCGTTAAAAACTCATCACACATCCATCAAACGTGATCAGTGCTTACTCAACGGCCGGTCATCAGCGCACACGCCGGTCGCCGCGCCCGGTAGCACACGGGCACCGGTTCGGTTCGCTTCCCAAGGATTCCTCGCCGGGACCCGGGACGGGGGATTGGGACCGGGAGTCGCCGATTAAAAATCGCGTGGGAAACGAAAACAAACCCGTCGGCCGCCTTGCATTTCACTCTCATCTCCGTCTGTGCGTCTCCCCCGCAGCGGCGCACAGTGGATCGAGCCACTCGGAGAGGTCGGACATGAAATATATGACTAAAACTGCAAATTCTGATGTTTATTTCGTTACATTTTAAACTTTAAGGGACGCTTGCAGCAGAAAATGGAGATGTTGCATGTGTGAGGGATTTGCGATTTGACCTTTGATTCTTAAGTAAAAGTTCGCGAGAAACACGATGGTGCCACTGGTTTTCTCTGAAATCATCTCTCAAGCTCAAAAAAAGCTCTCAAAGTGAGGCCAAAATGGAAGGGATATCCCACCCTACCCTTAGAGTCCACCTCTACATCAAAACAAACTCTCCATGCAAAGATAGGGAGCAAATACATTAGCGGGGCTGCCGTGTTTTCAGTTTCGGAGCCCCAAATAAAATGGCAACCCTGCTAATGTATTTGCTCCCTATCTTTGCATAGAGAGTTTGTTTTGATGTAAAGGTGGACTCTCAGGGTAGGGTGGGATATCCCCTCCATTTTGGCCTCACTTTGGAAGCTTTTTTTGAGCTTGGGAGTTGATTTCAGAGAAAACCAGTGGCACCATCGTGTTTCTCGCAAACTTTTACATAAGAATCAATGGTCAAATCACAAATCCCTCACACATGCAACATACCTTCATTCTGATGTTTATTTCGTTACATTTTGAACTTTAAGGGGTGCTTAGAGCATAGAATTTCACGAGGAAACTAATGGAACCACTTTCAAAACCTCCAAGTTTTGTATAAACGGAGTTGTAAGCGTTTGAAGTTTTCAATTTTCGTCCGACCTTTCCTATTGACTCGATCCGCTGTGCGGCAGCGGGGCTAGGTGTCAACAAGCGGGGGTGGGGGCGGGGGGCCCGGGGGGAACGAGGGCGTCTAATTGTAAGAGTGTGCACTGCAGTGCTCGCGGGGCATTCATCCGTTCAGTTACTTTTGTTCCAAGTTGGAAAAGTCTTGCTCCGCCATGTTGCTCGACACAATGGCACCGGTCCCACCGTGCGACTGCGAATGCGTTTGCCTGTTCTGCCGTGCTAAGGAAGAACGCCGTATGAGACTTCAGACGTTGCAAAGTTTCTTTCAATAAAAACTCAATTCGTTAAGAAAATTGTGGATATTTTTTCCAAAATTCTCGGACGATTTCGCAAGCAATTGAATCTAAAATATGTGAAAATTTCAAGTGAAAATAAGTATGCATGAATGTTATCAAAAATACATGTTTTATCGAAGGAAGGTTGGCAACTCTCGAATGTTCATACAGCGTTCTCCTTAGCACGGCAGTGTTGGTGGGGTTTCTTGCAGTGCTTTCGTATGATCTCGCTGAAGGATGAACTCCAAAACCATGTATTTCAACCGCATTCCCGCACTGGCTTCGTTTCTTAGGGCGCAAAGAGATTGGCATTTTTACAGAATGATCATAAAAAGATGAAAAAAAATCTGATACAATTTCGAATCAGAGTGTTGACATGCTGTAATTCTATAAAAAAACTATACACACACACTCTGAAACGTTGAGCATGAAATGCTTAACACAGGAGCTACCTATATTTCGCCTTAAAAGATTGACGAGGGGAACTTGTTTTTTTGAGTTATTGATATTATTGTTCTGTGAAAACAGGAGAGGGAACCATTCGAGTATTGCGTAGCGCACTTTGGGGAGGCGGCAGTTAGAATTGAGAGCTGTAACACCCACTTAAAAAAAAAAAAAAAAAAAAAAAAAAAAAAAAAAAAAAAAACGCAACTTATTTATGCAGTAATAGATTTTTCAGCCATATTTAGCAGAGCTTCGGCCATGAGTACAAAAAATCTCGAGCAAAATAGATTTTTTAAGATTTCCCAGACATCTCTCCGTTTCCTTGGACTTTTGGGTTGCAATTGATATACGTTGAAAGAACGTAACTTCATTTCAAATTGCAAAGACTTCAGCAATTCAATTTTGCACACAGATATGATTGAGCAGCTTCTGTTCAAAATTTAGCTCATTTTGCGCGTAATCTGGAGAAAAATCGGCGAGGTGATCATGAAAAAGTATTAAACAATAATTCCCTGGTTCCGATTTTCCGCGTGGCAATTTTGCAGCATTGAAATGTAATTACGTTCTTCCGTGTAGGGAAAGACAAACTATTGCCCAGACTAAATTTTAGGCCTGAAGGCGCAAAAACCTCACAATGGAAAAAAAAACACATTGGATCTAGAGTCCAGACTCTTAAAAACATCGACATGAAAAAGTACTCTTGATTCAATCAGAATCTAGCTTAAATCAAGAACCAAGCCTCTTAATTTAAGTGGATTTCGTTTTGATTCAAGCGAAAATCCGATTGAATCAAGAGTATGTTTTCTTGTCAATGTTTTCAAGAGTCAAGACTCTAGATCCAATGTGTTTTTTTCTCCAGTGCAAGATTAGAAGCGGCAACATTCTTTTCGGGTGATCTGGAATTAAAGGTCGGACACCGAAATAAAATCAAGTAAAACTGCCACTGCTGATCAGATGAAACAACTCCTCGTCACTTACTCCTTGGATCCTGTCCCACGCCGTGACGGCCCACAGAGGGCCACACTGAGAAAAAGCTATGGTTTATAAACCTATTAGTGGTAAATATGGAACACCTATAATAGTCGTAAATAAACTAATGATTCTCGGTCTGTGAACCATACTAAGGTCTCTGTACCTAATTAAGGTACAGAGACCATAACTAAGGTATATGTGCTATTATTATATGTAGAGGTACTACTATTAGTGGTGTTCCATATTTACCTCTAATAGGTTTATAAGCCATAGTTTTTTCTCAGTGCAGGAATCGAATTTAGCTGGACAAAAGTCCATTTTGGCTTGTCCGGAAAATTCGAAAATAGACACCACTGAGCGATAAGGTATATCATGGAGTATCTGTACATCACTGGGTTTGGGGGTCTTATCACTAATAAGACTGCGATGCCAAGATTTTCCCGAGCGCGTGCGGTGTGTTTATTTATCCTGTATGCTGGCTTGGTTCAACGCTCATCCAAAAGGTCATGTTCCACAAACCTTCGAGTGTTTCCCAACATAACGAGTGTTTTACCAAGTTAGATTAACATGTTTTCATTTTACTTTAAGGTATTTTTATCAATTTTGTGCATTGTATAGTCTGGTACACACAATTAAAAACTGGGCACGAAAATGTCCTAATTTTTAGGTTTAAAGAGGTCTGCAATTTTCTGTAAAGATCTGTAAGGTTACGGACCGCTACCATGTGGTTCAATACATCCTAAACATCTAAATTTTCATTGGTTCATTTGCCTTTTCTTGCCTTACCGTGAGTTATGCATTTTTTTGTGACGCAAGATCGAGGATTTTATGCTAATTTCTTATATTGGATCACTCACGTGCCAGGTATTGGCGATTCTTGCATGTTAGCATCAATGCTCTTTCTCATTGTAAATACACTAACGAAAATCGATTTTAGGTTAGGATTTTCGATATATATCGATTCTATCGTAGATGTGTTCATATGGATGAAAGGCAGTGTTGCCAAATTGCAAGCATGCCGTATAATGGCGCTATCCTACGCTAATCTTCTTATATTGTTATTATAGATGTCCATACAACTGCGGCCCGACTTCTGGGGTTAAATTATGCCTGATTCTGAATAAAATTT